GGCACGCGAAGCAGCGCTGCCCGTGTGAGTGCCCTGAAGGTGGGCACTGCCCGCGCTTCACGCGGCTGTGAGCAGAAAGCCTCGAGGCAGAGGAGCAGCCACAGCACACAGCGCTCTGAGCCGGTGGGGGCGCCGTGGGGACGGCCTGCCTACCTTATTGTCACCGGGGTGAAGAGGAGCATCGTGGTGACGTTGTCCAAGAAGGCAGAGAGGACGGCGGCGATGAGACACAGCATGGTGATCATGGCCCACACCCGCCCGCGGGACAGTCGGTACGCCTGCGGTGCGCAGTGTGGGGAGAGCAGGCTAGGGTCGGCGTTTCCAGGAGAGGCCCTGTTTCCATTAGTGACCCCCCAGGACAGGGACCCGAACAAACACTGTGTGGTGGGTTAAAGCTTAGATCCGGAGCCCTACACCTGCCAAGACGAGGTGCCGTTGACCCCGCTGGCCCCCAAAGTGCCTAGGAAATCGAGATCCACCCTGGCCTGTGCCTTCTCTTCTCATCCTCGTTCTGTCTTCACAGGGCCCAGAGATGATCAGATTTATTACAAAATGTCAACTGTCAATCTCTTCCCAGTTACCTAGGCTTTGAGTCACAGCTGGCGCTGCAACATTAGGGACGTGTGTGACTCCGGTGTTTGCTCCTCTTGGGGAATCTGAGGGATATTTTTAGTGTATCCGGAGAAAGAAGCCAGGTATCCAACCGTGAAGTGCACGACGGCGCACAAAGTGACAAGAGTCACACCATTGTTCTCGTATTTGGAGTTTGAATACATTACTTTTAAGAGAACAATTCCCACCCAACAGCAGTATCACCGTCAGCACCAGGCTTTGCATAGCGGGGCGCAGCAGGCTCTCCTCCTGCCAGCCACGCCCAGTGAAGCCACTGCACACCCCGAGCCAGGCCCTGGCAGAGTGCACCAGGGTGCCAGTTAAAATTGCAAGTGAAAACCGCACTGGTGAGATGGGTTCATCAGAAAGATGAGCGATAACCGGCACCGGAGAGACGGTGGAGAGAGGGAACGCTCGCACACCGCTGGTGGGAACGGAAGTGAGCACAGCCATGCAGAACCGTGTGCAAGTTACTCAGAAACCAAAACAGAGCAACCCTGTGACCCCACCATCCCACCACCAGGCCTCGATCCAAAGGAGTCAAAGGCTGTGCATTAAGCGACACCTGTCCCGTTCACAGGGAAGGGCTACTCACAAGAGCCAAGACAGGAAACCAACCTACACATCCTTCAGCCGCTGAATGAATGACGGCAATGTGGTACATACACATAAGGTAGTATCGTTCATCCATAAAAGGGAACAGGGATGCCAGCCAGCTGCGGTGGTGCACACATAATCACAGCACTGAGGGGGCTGAGGCAGGAGGATCCCTAATTCCAGTCCCACCCTGGCAACTTAGTGAGATCCCATGTTAGAAGAAAAAATGCAAAAAATGGGGCTGTGTTCCAGTGGTAGAGCACCCCCGGGTACACTTGCCAGTAACATAAAAGGTGGGGAGGGATCCTGTCGTTTTCAGTAGCATAGATAGAACTGGAACACGTTATGGTTAAGTGAAATAAGCCAGGCAGAGAAAAATAGATCTAAATACTTTCACTCATTTGTGGGATCTTAGAAAGTTGGTCTCATACAAGGAGAGAACAGAGGAGGTTACTGGAGGGCGGAGGCTGGCAGGGAGGGGATGGGAAGACGCTGGTCAAAGGCGACAGAATTGCAGACAGATGAAAGGAACAGAGTTTGAACACATTGCACAAGTACAGCGACTATAATTAGTAAAACATAGTATATATTTCAAAATAACTAACACTAAATTCCAAATGTCTCACCGTAAAAAATTGCAGGTGATCAAAATGACAGAAAAATTAATTAGCCACGTTGTGTACATACACACTGAAATGTCACATTGTACCCTCTAAATGTATATGATTATGACCTGCCAATCAAAAACAATTCTAATAAGAGTGAAGCTCAGTGGTAGAGCACATGCTGGGCATGCACCAGGCCTAGGCTCAATCCCCAACACCAAATATAAACAAATAAATAAGATCCTTAAGGGATTTTTAAAACTAAAGAAATGGTGCGTGTGTAATGTTTGCATTACACATTTAGAAAGTGATCATTGACATGCTTTACCAAAAAGCAAAGCAATCAGAAGCCAATGGCCTGAATGTTCGGAGATTATAATATACAAAACAATGTTTTCTGGGCCGTTCTCACCCGCCAGTGTGAGTAATGTGCACTCACTCAGCCTGAGTACTTCCCCTTGATCTTCAGCTTCATGTATTTATGGAGAGACTGGAAGTGCTGTCAGAGCCACGCCTAACACAGCAACTGTCACAGCCTTGCGAAAGCGATTTTGAAAAGGGTAGAATTTTAAAGCATTTGCTTTAAGTAAATGAAACTTTAATTTATACAGCTATGAATATATCAGCTAATTAGAACATTAACTATTAAATTAACTAGGCACTTCATACCTACCTTCACAGCACAATAATCGAAAAACCCAGTTTCTGAAAATATGGCTACCAATATCATCTGCAGGGAAACAGACAAACGGGATGGGAGGTTATTCCAGTGGTGCATCATACTGGAACAACAACAGACCGATGAGCTACAGACGTGAGCTCTGGCCTCTGAAAGCAGCGTAATCAACCTGCCGGATGTCTTGCTGAAAGGGAAGTCTCTTAGTCTGTGCACTTACTGGCTTCTTGAGTAGATCCTCTTGCAAGCTGCTTACATTTTTGTCCAGGAATTTGTCTCTAAGGTACATTATCATCCCATTCGATCCTCACAGCAAACATCATGTGTCACTATTACTCCCTGGGTTACCATTATCACCCTCTGTCTTATAGAGCAGGACACGAGGAATCAGGGAGGCAGGTGATTTGCTCATGCTCGGAGCAGCAGCGGGGGAACAGACCACCAGGCGACCTTCCCCATCTGATCACCACGCGGCCACACTGAGACAGCTCAAGGTCTTAAAACTAGGTTACATTTCTGTTCCTAAAGTAATTAAACTAATTTTTGCTGCCAATTTGATCAACATATAGCAGTAGGGCGACTGTACTGAAGTTAGCATCCTCCCATTTCTGTATGAACCTGGAACTCTCAGGGCTACTGATGAGAATGATTTGGTGTAAACAACAACTTTCACTACTAACAAAAAGTGAAGACCCAGTCATCCCCGACTTCATCAGTGACCAGCCTGAACTTGCTGAAAGGTGTTCTGCTTCATCAGAGGTGACGTACATCACCACTGAATTGTTTTTCAGCTCATCGTATCCGCGATGCCTCCCTCCCTCCCTCCGGGCAGATGCTGAAACCCTGGTACTCCTCAGGGCCCGACAGGGACACTGGTTCCACTGTGGAGACTGGGCTCAGAACATCGTCCGCTTCCTGTGCTCCAGCTGTTCACCACAGGCTGAACTTAAGGAGAGGATGCAGATTCAAGCACTGACTCTACCACTTAGGGGTAATTCAGCCTTGAGACAAAAAAATCCTTAATCCTGCTGAACTTCAGTTTTTTCACCTCACTTCTGAGTGTTTTGTACCTAGAAAGGTAGTTGCAAAAATTCAACAAAATTATGTAAATTAAAGCACTTTATAGACAGCAGGCCCAACGTTGTCTTTCTAATAAACTGTGGAAAGCAAAACCATTTATCTTGTGTAGAGCAGTCTTGAGCTCATCTTAACCTGAAAGACTGCTGTGGGGTGTTTGTAGAACACATGGTTCACACACAAAGGAAGATTCACATGGGCATGCATGAGTGTAATATGCGTGTGGAGGCCTGCATAGCCTTATACTATCAGGGGAGCTGTTCCCCACCAGCTGACAAGACACCCAAGAGACAGCAGAACTCGGGAGTTGGGGTAAATGGCCCCATTGGTGGTTTACTAATAGAAAATAAGGTAGAAAAGGAAGAGAACAAGGATATATATTTTCTTTGTACCCCTATTATTCTATAATTGTGGAATTTGAAAGTGCCTGGTGAACCAATTTCAATTAAGAAAAAAGTACATTAGGCCATTTTTATGGGCTAAATTGTCACTCACCCAACCAAATTCACATGTTGATATCCTAACCCATAACATTTCAGAATACGCAGTTGGAGATAGGGCTTTCAAGGGGGCAATTAAATTAAAAGGAGATCATTAGGGAAGACAACTAGTGACCTAACACAGTATAACCTGGATCGTTCTAGGATAGGAAGAGCAGGGCACAGACACACTGGGAGGGAAGGCCTGTGAGGACACGGGGAGGAGACAGCCATCTACAAGCCAAGGAGAGAGGCCTTGGAGGAAACTGACTCCACTGACACCTTCATCTCAGACTTCCTGTGCCTCCTGAGTGGTGAGAAATGAGTCTTTGTTGCCACAGCCACATAGTCTGTGGTGCTTCATTATATGGCAGCTCTAGCAAACTAACACATCAGTCACTTAAATTTTTTAAAATCTTCTCTTCTTCCACCCGGGTGCCCAAATCCTATATGTTTCTCAGCACTCAACAGAAACATCAGTTCTCCAAGGAAGACTCCGTTCAGGACACTGCTCTGCCTCTCCTTCCATGGGGGCTGGGAGCACACATGCAGTCACACAGAGGCCTAGCAGGACTCTCCTTGTATCTTTCAACCTCAGGGGAGATCAAGGGCTAGCAAGGATAACGAGGATATGCAGCAGCTGCTTTACACAGACTGAATTTTTGGCCCAGGGAGACAAACTCTCTTTCCGACCCCTGGACTATTTTGGGGTCTGCTGAAGAATGCATGAGTCATTCCCACCGTTGTCTAGGCCCTTGCCAAACTCCACTTATTCTAGCTAAACTGGTGTATGACAAATGTTACACACCAATCCACTTTGGCATTTAAGTTTGACTCATACAAATTGACTTGGTGACATTCCTCACAGCACGGCCCCTTGGCAATATGATCAATTAGCAAACACGAGAACCATCAGGGTCAATTTATTCCTTTATATAATTAAAAGTGCTCTTCTAACCACTAAACTTTCATATGGCCCACTTATTTTGGGATATGCCACTTTTTTATTTTAAGAGTAGAAACTCTTTGAAAAATGCTAACTTTTCTTCATGGCAACCTCATTTATTGTTCCACAGACCTTCAACCGAAACTCTCCAGCTAACTAATCAGAGCTCCAGTCATCCCATTCTCTTCTAAAGAAATTAGCTGGACTTGTGCTATCATTTCTCGGGCAAGCCCTCACTGTCAAGAGACACAGCATCTTTAATATAATGATAAGATTATCAGCAGCAGCAGCAGCAGCAACAGCAGCAACAGCAGCAAAGGACCTGGGTTTAAGCAGCTTGGAGTGGTGTCCTGCTGGGAGGGCTATAATTACCATGCCAAACAGCAGGGCCAGGGTTTCAAAGTCAATCCACTCCACCACCTGGGTCAGGCTGGGTCTCTGCAATCGAAGCACAAATTTTCCAATTAATCCTGTGACCACCCTCATGGGGATAAGCTCCAAAATATGTTGCCCTTTACTATAAATGCACTCACTGGACCAAAGTTGAAAACACACCAGCTGCCTGCCTTTGAAATTGGATTATAACATTGCTGAAAAAAATTTATGACTTACTCCATCTGTACTGTCAAACCTATGTAATAACATAACTTTAAGAAAAATAACCCTACCTCTCGAAACTTTAGGAAGAAGTACTGCCTGAATGGAAGAGTTGATCCTTGAGGTTAAGGCTATAGTTTGGAGTTGCAGTGTCCCCCAAAGGCCTGTGTGAGCTTGTTCTCCAGATCCTGGTGCTAATGAGAAGTGGTGGAAGTTTAGGAGGTCAGGTGGCAGGAGGTTAGGCCAGATAGGACACGTGCCAGCAGGGGGCTGTAGGATGCCAGTCTCTTCCCCTACTGTCTTTGCTTCCCAGCCACTACCAGCTGAGAAGCTTCTCTGCCACACACTCCTGCCAAGATGCACTGCCCACTACAGGGCCAGAAGCAATGGAGCCAGCCAACTATGAACTGAACTCAAACTATAAACTCAAATGCTGTGAGCCAAGATACACATTTCCTTCTCAGTTGATTATCTGGGTATTTTATCACAGCAACACAAAGTTGACTGACACAGTTATCCTCCTAGCCAGTCCACATGTGCCTTTCTCCTTGTAAGGCATGAGGTCAGGTGACAACCGCTTGGACAGTCTTGTGTCCTGCTCCCATGTGCCCCTATCTTGTGGTCAAAAACAGGGGCAAACCTTTCAGAGCCTTCAATAATCCAAGCAGTCTGCTGTGGCATGCATGCCATAGGCTTGCCAACACTATGGCAAATGCCTAAAATGTCCCCCAAAATCCTCATGAGTGTGAAAGGGGATTGCATCATGGGGGTGCTATACGCATCACTGAAGAAGTTCGTAGCTAGATAGGATGTTAGCAGGTAGCACCTGGTTGGAGGTGGGTTACTGAGGCACGACCTGGAAGGGTGTATTCTTGGCTGCTCCCTTTTCCCTCTGGTGCCTGGCTGCCACAGGTTGAACAGCTCTCCTCTGTCATCCTCTTCCTCCATGCCAGTACTGCCTTGGAGCCAGCTGAGCGTGGGCTGAAGTTGTGAACCAGAACAAACTCCCCTCCTTGAAGTCACAAGTGTTGAGTATTTTGTCCCAGTGACAAGAAAGTGACTAAGGCAGATTTTGGTCCCAGGGAAGTGGGGTTGTTGCTGTGTCTGTAACTGAGCAGTGGTCTAGAAGCCTTTGGACTTTGTTTGTAGGAGTTTGGAAAGGTTTGGAAAAACAGGCTGGAGAATCCTTAGAATGTCATGAACAATGGTGGATATGCAATACTGTCAGAGCTCAGAGGACCAGAATGCTGATAGAAATTTAGGCAGGAAAGGCCAAGCTCAGGAGGTTTCAATTGAGAGCAAAGACACCACTAGAGCATATACACAGGGCATGTATATAACACCCTGGCAGAAAATGTGTCTACATTTTGCTAAAATTCTAAGATTTGCAGGAAACTGAGTTTAAGGGTGGCAAACTAATCAGTCCAAAGAAATTTCAAAATAGCCCAGCATTCAGGTTGTGACAAGGGTACTGTTGGTTCCTTTTAGCCAGACACGCTATGAAAATCAGCAGTGAGAAGCCCATCTGAAAAGTTTTCAGTTTCACCAGAAAGGAAATTCCTACAAAGTTAAGGCAATGAACATAGTTGCTGAAAAGATTAGCATTAAAAGAAGCCAAGGACTTTGAATCAGGAAAAAAGGAAAGATGGCTTGAAGGCATTTTAGGAATAATCAAGACCCTACTCTTCACAGGCTCAAGGATACAAAGCTATAAAGCTTTCCTTTGAGAAGAGATTCTTCGGGGTGCTTTGCCCATTCAGGGCCATGGAGGGAAATATTCCCTGCAAGGTCGACCATGTAGGCACTCAGAAGCTGCTCCAGCCATGATCCCAAGGAACCTGCCCCTTTACTACTGCTCAAGCTGGTGGCAGACTTTGGCATCATCCACGTGGTACTGGCTTTTCAGATATGCAAGAGGCAAGAGTTACGGGGTCAGGGAGGTTTCTACGAAAATCCCAAAGGAGGGCTTCAGAGGATGGGCAAGGAGCCCCGGAGAGGTCATGTGTGAAGCTGTGAGAGCAAAACCAAAAGTGCAGTAAAGGTCCCAGGAAGCTGCAGATGCCAGAAATGTGGATTTCCATCAGGTAGTGAGTGGAGCTATACCAAGAGGGAGCCTATGAGGGCTGCAACTGGCCATGTCACTTCAGCAGGGCCACCCAAGCCCATCAGAACTCATATCTCACCACAACAAACCCCCCCAATCACAGTGCTGGATGAACAGGGTTTAATGCTTACTCTGCGGGATTTCAATCTTGCTTTGAATCCACTTCTCTCCATTCACTTCTTTCTCCCTTTTGAAATGGGAATGCTTACCCTACGCCATTCTATACTGAAAGTATTCAATTTTCTTTTTTATTTTTATAAGGGTTCACAGTCAAGAGTTTGCCTTGAGTCTCAGAGGAGACTTTGGACTTAGACTTTTCAGCAGCACTGGAACTATTAAGATTTTGGTGACACGTAGAGATGGACTAAATGCATTTCGCACCATGAGATGGATGTGAGACTTTTGGGGATTAGGCTGGAATGTTGTAGCTCAGATCTAGAATGTCTCCCCAAATTCTCATGTTCTGGAAGGTGGGGGGATCATGGCAGTACTCGCCATCAACAGATTCATCTGACGATGAGTTCACAGCTGAACGTGATGTTAGGAGGTGGGTCTGGGTTGGAGGTGGGTCCCTGGGGGTGTAACCTGGAAGGGTGTTGTCCTCGTGTCTTTTCTCATCACTGAGACAAAATACCGACACCCAAAGTTAAGCGAGGAAAGGTTTAGTTAGCTCACGGTTTGTAGAGGTTTCAGTCCATACTCAGCCATTCCAAAGCAGGGTGGCGTGGCAGGGAACAGTTCACAGTGGCAGACTGTAGCAAAGTGGCAAAGGAGACAGGAAGGAAACAGCCCTTTTTCCAACCCTTATACTGTATGCAGTACTCACCCTAGGGTAGGTGCAGCACTCACACCCTTCATCCCACCATTGGACCATGAATCAACCACAAGCTCTAGATTCATCCACTTCTGAAAAGCCCGCCCCTCATGACTGCATGAGGCTTTGCGGGGACATTCAGACACAGCCATAGCAGGTGGGCTCTTGTCTCTAGCTCTTCCCTTTGCCCTCTGCTTCCTGGCTGCCCTGAGTTGAGTTGCTCTCCTCTGCCAGGCCCTCTACCATGTCAGTTCTGCCTTGGAGCCAGCTGACGATGTGCTGAAAGCACGAGCCAGAATAAATCTCATTTCCTTTAAGTTACAGGTGTTGGGCGCTTTGTCCCAGCAACAAGAAGTGACAGAGCCGCAGGGTCAGAAGGGAGCAGAGAGCAAGAAGCAAATCCACAGCCAGGACCTGGCTTTTGGGAAGAGCATTTCAGGGCTTTTCATAGCATGTAACCCCCACGTTCCATGTTAGTGACTTTCAAAACAAAACAGATTGTTCTACTCCTCAATCATTAATAAAAACACCTATGGCTTTATCCCTAAATTTATTTTTAAGATTAACTTTTTTTTTTAATACCAACTGTAGCCAAGAATAACTTCAAGTTCTTACTACTTTCAGGCAAGGCCGACATTCGAAATTTAAATTAAAGAATCATAACCAACTCAACTTGCTTCTCCAAATCAGTTTTCTAAACTAGTCATTATTCTGGAGGTGGATGACTAGCTGCTGGAGGCAATTTTCAGCACAGTCATCACATTCCATGGAGCTGTTTTCAAGTCCAGACCCACGTGCTGTCCCGTTTGGAAGTGCTCTCGGTCCAGTTCCAACGCTGCCTCTCAAACAAGTCTGGCCCTTGTTTCCAGCGGGTACTTGGTTTTGGCTTCTCTTACTTCACTATATGCATTCCCCATGTCCCTTCCAGATGGGTCACACTCAGGCTCGAAAAGACGCCATCACCCCGTACATGCATCTCCAGACCCTCCGCTGTCTCCAAGATGGAGTCCCCACCACCACTCATCTCCCGTTCTCTGCTCCAGCTTGGCTTCTTAGTCCAGTTCCTGAGAGCTGACAACACCAACTACAGCCTCACACTGCCAAGCCCTGGACAAGCACATGAGTAGAGCGGGGCTTTCTTCAGCCAAAACGGGGAGTAAAACCACCTGGATGTGTGCGTAATAAAATCAAATGAAAAGCATTCATCACTGCTGTTTGTTAGTTCATACCTCTAAGTATGGTTTTTGTGCAAAAACATGGAAGCAGCATATCAAAGAATTGAAAATACCAAATAAAGCTTAAGTCCTGCAGTGTCTCTTGGGTGTGACACTATACCCAGTGGTAAGCCAGTGATTTCAAACATTGCAACTTACATCGCCAATCACAGACAGAGCTGCTAATGCTGAAAGGGCCCCCAACATGGCCGCCAGAGTCCTGTGAACAATCTGGAAGAAAACAGGAAATGACTTCATTGCAGTCCACAAGGAGTTTAATATACACAAAAGCTGGAATTGACACCAGTGTCTATGTTGACTATTGTACACCGTATCTGTTAAAATAATAAAGAAGCCAGGGGTTTCAGCATTGCAGAGTCCAGACCCCTCACAGACACCCAACTGCCACCACTCTTCCTTTGAACAAAACTTTCATTTCCTGAAAAATTAGATAGCCCTGACAAAACAGTAGCAGTTTGGATAAAGTGTGTTCTACAAAGAAACCTGCAGTAAATTGCCATTAATTATTTACTGTACACTCCCCAGACAACTGAACCATTAGTTCAACAACATAAATCAGTTCTTCCCAATTACTGAGACTGTTGTTAAACCTAAAGCACACAAACACTTCATCTAACTGAGACTCCAGTGTTACCACTGCACCGTACAAGGATCTTTTCTACTTAACTATAATTCAAATGGATGTGAAATTTCTAAAACACAATTTGAGGGAAGGCAAAGATGTGGAGGAATTGGAGCCCTCATACATTAATGAGATGAATGTAAAATGCTATTGTCACTATGAGGAACAGTCTAGCAGTTTCTTTAGTACAAATTTACCCAATAACGACAAAATTCTACTAGGAATCTGTACAACAGCAATGTAAACATGTCCACATCATGCATCAAAACTGGAAACATGCCCAATGTGCATCCATAGTGAACCGATAAATTAATGTAATATATGCTACACTGCAGAATTTACACAAAATGGAACTCTGTAATAGACAACTTTTTAAAATGTGCTAACTGATAGAGACCAGACACAAAAGCCTGTATATTGCATCATGCCACTTACAGAAACTATCTAGAAAGGAAAGTGTAGAAAAAGCAGGGTTGCCTGAGACTGGGAGTAGCAAAAACGATTGACTAAAAATATAGGTCCTTGGGGTCCTTGTGGGGTGACAGAATACCCTAAAACTAGATCATGAGGTGATTGCTGCAAACCTCTAAATTTAGTAAAAATAATAGTGCACTCCCAAATAGTGAAATTACGGAATTCAATTATACCTCAAAAAAAAAACTGATAAAAATACAAAAGGAATGTGGCAAGGCTGAGTACAAAATTAAATATCAACAGGCAGTATTTACTTATTAATATCCAGAAAGTAATTTTAATTCAATTATTGTACAGCTTCTGCCTCATAGAACCTGACATTCTTATTAGTAATTACTTGAAACTCATACTCTGAATAAAATCATTTCATTCATAATTTGTACTTCTAGATGCAAAGCTAATTTTCAGCTAATTTTTATACCAAGAATTTGATCTTTCATAATTTAGAATTGTTATATTTATTTTAAATAAAAATATCTAAAGACCAATAAATTGCTACTAAATTCTAGTAATTCCTTCCATTCATGTTCTGCTTTTCTGTTTCAGCTGACGAAACATTTGATGATACTCTCTTATTTGCTGCTTACGGGGGCCCTAGGAAGTGGCAGGGAAGGAACTCACCCTCAGCCTTAGAGATTCGCAGACGCAAGCTGATGCTCAGCCACAGAACTGAGCCAGCCCTGGAGACAGTGCTCCAGGGAGTCTGTGCTCGCACACACCGCCACGGTTCCCAGCTGAAACGCATGGAGAGAGCCAGGTATTTCCCAGCCACTCCCAGAGGGCAGTGCGTGGGCACCAGGACCCCGCCGCCATTACAGACGGAGTCCTGGCCTCCCTGCTCCCGTGGCAGAGGAAGTTTTCACTAAGAAGCCACAGGAACTTCTCTGGCAGTGGGCGGGGTGAAC